CTATACAGAAATTTCACATATACAATACAGAATTTTGAGGCATCATATACAGTTGATTCTATATATTGTACACATTTTATCCATATAAAGTACAGGTAACCTCACATTTGCCAGCTATCCTGTACAGAAGATCTCATGTATCGCTGCTATCCTGTACACAAAAGTGGGCACTGGCACATGTACAACATAGCTCCAATACATGTACTCAGATGTTTAGGTTATCTTTCTCATACACATTCATTCGCTATCTTGTATAAATAATATCCACATCCAGATGCTATACTGGCCGTAACCCATCCACACAAATGAGGCACTAATACACGCATACATAGCTCCAGTACATGTATGCTGAATTTTCTATGTGGTTGATGAGTAGAAATATCCGGACAGACGAACAAATACACGCACAAACGTACATACGCACACATACACAAAGACAGGGTCATCGCAAATATGCGCTTTTACTGCCTGTTGCAGCGCTCTAGAGCTACACAGCAAAAGCGTATATAATGCTTCCTAACGCGTGCGCACTGCTGCATCAAAAGTTGGCTTAGAGAGCAAGCAAAGTTGTCACTTTATTGCATATGCCCCTCACTGTCACTAAGGCTCGGCCAAAAAGCTAAGCTCAGCTACTGCTAGCTCCTTTCCAGCATGTACCAAAACTCAGCACGGCTCGGCCAGGTTGAGACGAGTTATCATGATTGTGGTATGCTCCATCGGTTTGGCGGGCCAAAGTTAGAGGAAAGCAGGAGGAGAAAAGACCAGGAACGGGATACTACTTTAGACTGCAGGGGATCATAAAAGATGGGAGGGGGCCAGGATATTTAACTGAGAGGTCTTAAGATCTAGCTTGGAGATAGAAGTTGGGGACAAGGGCAAGGAATGGAGACGGGTGGCAGGATGTATGGGTTTATGATATTAGGCAAGAAATTTGATGCCAAATGAAACTGCCAGTCAATTAAAATGCAAAAAAACTCTGAACAAGAGAAAATATTTGTTTAAAACATCCATACTGATGACAAAAATGAAGTGATGAATCTTATCAGTTAAGACGCTTTATTGTTCGCTGCCATCCTCGCAAAGTGCTGCTAATTTGACTGACGTCGTATAAGGCCATTCTGCACATTTACGTCCAAGTTCCCGGCGATGATTTTTATCGCTAATAAGAAACATCGTTTCGTCAAAAATGACCACTTGCGGGGTCAGACGTGCTACCTGAAACAGTAGAACATTAATTCAACATGAAAATGAGCATTGTGCAGGTGTATACAGGAGCAATAACGGATCAGCATTTGCTTGAATTCCCTTCCTCTAAATATTCATCTAGCTACGCAATAGTTATATAGTAGATGCATGTGGAGTGTGGGAAAGACAAACGGCCTATATATTTTGAATGAAACAAAAAAAAAAAACTGGGAGGAGACCGCAAACAATAGGATCGCTCCCATACATCCTTGCACTCTTGACGAACAAAATATTCAAAATTTAAGTATCTGACGATAACGCAAACTCCGTACCTTTTTCATAAGTAGCACAGAGTCACGCGGCCAGCCTGCACCAGGTGGAAGAAGAGCTGCCAGAACACGCCACGGCAGCCCAACAAGCATTTCTTGCGTACCAAACTTGCGCAAAAGAGCAACTGTGTAATCCACCAGCTGGTAATCACTGCGAATTAACATTGGCGCCATTGGTTCCCAGCCTTCTGTGTAAACGCGTGAATACCACTGCAACTCTTTCGTATTTAAGTAGCACGTCCTGGATTTT